CGCCGGGGTCGGCTCTGTGCCGCCCGACACCGTCCTGCAGAGGCGCGGGAGCAGGAGTCCAGAGAGCACGCGCAGCCGCAGAAACACTGGCGCGGAGGTCGGAGACTAGCCCTGCTGTACTTCCGCCCTCCGGTACCCGGCGAACTCGGCCAGCAGCGAGGCGCAACCCTGGAAGCCCACCCCAAATCCAGTCACGCTCTGCGCCCAGAGATGACGTCACGGAGTCCACGTGGCCTGCAGAGGCGCGGGAGCAGGAGTCCAGAGAGCACGCGCAGCCGCAGAAACACTGGCGCGGAGGTCGGAGACTAGCCCTGCTGTACTTCCGCCCTCCGGTACCCGGCGAACTCGGCCAGCAGCGAGGCGCAACCCTGGAAGCCCACCCCAAATCCAGTCACGCTCTGCGCCCAGAGATGACGTCACGGAGTCCACGTGGCCTCGACTCCACCCTCTGGGATCCGCCCATCGTCCCGAGGAGCAGGAGCCGCTTTAAGCATGCGCACAGCGAGCGGAGTGCTTACCAAAGCGAGACCTTGAGTTCGAAGTCCCGAGCCAAAATGTAGTCCCTGGTCCTTGGGGAGGTTAATGTAACAGTCCTATAAGAACAGACATCCTCCCTAAAGCCTGATAGCAGCATCCCTCTTCCTGACATCACAGAATAGTGTTATTAAAACGTTAGCTTTCAAAGTTCTTTCACACCCATGTTCTCATTTGATGGTCTCAACTTTTTTAGAATCACTGCAAGCACTAAAGAGCCATATTTCAGCGAAGATTATGTGAGTACTGAGTAGGGGAGCCCATCTATCCAACAGTGCCTCTTCCTGTTTCTGAAAATAACAAGCAATTAATAAATTTACCCCTAAAGAGTATTCGAAAGGGATCTATGCAGAATTACTAACTAGGCATTTAAGATTTTTCTCTAAACTATACATGCCATAATGCTAGGCATGCTGAGTAAATGCTGGAGCTCAGAACAGGTTCCTAATCACTGGGAAGATAAGGAAATCTGGGTAGTAGCCACAGAATTCTTGCAATCCGCTGGTGCATGTTAGGTGGAGCATGACTACGGCATCCATCCTAAATGGAATGAAATAGAAAGTGTCAGCATGCTTCACATATGTAAAAGTAAATATTGTTTCCTGAACTTTACATACATACATACATACATATATAATTTTATATATATATATGTGTGTGTATGTATATGGTGTACACTGGATGAAATCTCTTTCTTAATAAGGATGACATAATTTGAAAGGCACAGCCCTGGTCCACTCCACCTATTCAAAGCAGAAATCCCCTCTAGAATATACCCAACAGTCAGCTATTAGCCCCTGTAAGAAAGATCCTGGGAGAAAGGCGAATCACCTTCCCAGTGGCAAACAAAAGTGTATAGAATTTACTTTGAAATGTATCCAAACAATAAAATGGATTGAGATGCCTAGGATAAGTATGGGATTAAAAGAGTAAAATACATTGTAATGGTAGGATCTAAGTGATGGTTCATTATAAATGGGCATTTACTGTCAAATTCTTATAACATTGCTATATGCTTGAAATTTTTCCCAATTAAATGCTGGAGGGAGGGCTATATATGAAAAATAATAAGTATAAGTGATTACATGGACCTAAAATCCAGCTTCAAGTTTTATAAATTGACCCTATTTTCTTTTCTCATTTTGTTCCTTTTACTTCTCCCATCTATAACCTACAACAGAAATAATTAACATTTCAGATATGAAAACATAATTCTGGTTCCCCATAACCTACATAGGAATAAAAATTGTTAGTTCTTTTAGCCATATTTCACATGCCATACCTCTTTTCTGAATATGGTCCAGTTATCAGATTCCCCAATAAATAGTTTTATTCTTTCCTATCTATTGATTATGCTCCTTAAGGAAAATTTCAAAGAGAACTTTTTTAAAAAAAAGAGGAATTCTGTATTTGTTTTCTGTCTTTTCCATTGTTAAAATGTCTCCTCTCCCATCTTTATTACTTTTTGTGAAGATAATATTTAAAGAACTCTTTGATTTAGTCATATTATTTCCTCCAAGCCTCAACTCATTTTAAGTGACTCTTCCAAAGTTCTGAGTTCCAATGAAAGATACCAGAGAAGTCTTTGTTAATAATATAGTCGTTTCTTCGTATTGTAAAACTTTGGAGTTGTAAAGTCTGGCTTTTCTCTCCCCCTCATTGGTGGAGTTTGAACCCAGGCCTTCATACCAAACTACTTCCCAAGCCCTTTTTTACTACTCTCTAGTAGTCTCTCTAAATCACTAAATTGCTCCTGCTGGGCTTGAATTTGTGCTGCCTCGGCCTCCCAAAGTGTTAGGATTACAGATGTATACCCCCACACCCAGCCTGATTTTTATTTTTGCATGCCTTGCAGCTAATAGGAAGATGTGGTTTTTCTATAAAATGGAATATTACTCAGCCATAAAGAATGAGAAATTAGATTCATTCATAGGAAAATGGATACATAGTGAGGATATACTCCTAAGTGAAATAAGTCACACATGTGTAAATACCAAATAGTTTCTCTGGTGTGAATAAACTATAATAGTACATAAGATCCTAATGATATAATTGACAATGTGAAATAAGAAGAAAGGGGCTAAAGGTGTAGGGAAAGTGGGAAGGGTAGGGGAAAGCTAATAAGGGAAATGAAAAAATATGAGAAAATGAAAATGAAGTGTTTGTAAATGGGGAGGGGAGGAGGGGGTGAAGGGAGGGCAGGGTATAGGGAAAAAATGAGAACCAAGACCTTTCATGTAAAGGTACAAGATCCTAATAATGAATGTAATGCACTGTTTACCTAAAATGTACCAATAAACTCAATGAGGAAAAAATTTTTTTAAAACTCTTAAGCTGTTTGAACCTTTAAAAAAAGAGTCAAAGCAACAAAGAGTCAAAGCCATGAGAGTTCTTTACATTTATTTAAGCCTGCTTTCCTAAAAGCTAAGGTATCTCTCCTAACCGTGCAATGAACTCTAATATGCCATTAAAGTTAATAAAGATTCCATCTGCTCTCTTTAATCTCTTCTGGTACTTTTAGTGGATGAATTAGGCCAATGTTAATTATTTTACTTCAGTTCTAGTATCTCTTTGCTTCAACTAATTGTCCTGTCTCCCACATTTTTTTCCTCATTACTGGTTTCTTCTGTCTACAGACATGCTGAAATGTTCTCCCATCCCACTAAAATCTTTCTTTAACCCTTGACACTTCTTACCTACACTATTAGGATGCCTTTTACCTGGTCTCCCTGCCTTCAGTGTTGCTCTCCATGTCCCAGGGACCATCTCATTTTTACACTTATTTCAAGCAGTGCTCATTTTCTAAAACACACTCTAAGCAAGTCACTCTTCTGCGTGAGGCTTTTCAGTGATTCCTTCCTGGAAAAGTCTATGTTACTTTGTAGAAAGCAGCCTTCAAGTTTATCCCCAACTGGGGGTGAACGACGATGAAAGACAGAAGATGCAAAGATAATTTGGAATGAGGGGGAAAAGGGGCTCTGACAAAAGAGCCCTGATCATTTGGCTCGCCTTGTTTTTATTCACTTTGATATGTGAGCAAGCAATTAGGTAAATGGAAGATTCACCTGCCTTTTGTTATCTGGAGCGTGTCCAGGGTGATCATCCAGATCTCAGCTTGATTGACTCTTCTCTGGAACTTGCAACTGCTAGCATGCCTACGCATTGCCAAAGGAAGCACATCTTGCTGTTTTTCTCTTTTGCGCTCACAGATAAGGTCAGTTAGGCCTCAATCCTCATTATCTGGTCTCCTACATTACTTAGCATGATGAAAAAGGTCCTTTGTGACTGATATCTTTACAAGTCCTATTCCATTTACTCGTGACTTGCACTTCAAAATCCAATAGTAGCAAATGTTTGGTGGTACTTCTGTGTAGTATGACCAGGTCATCATAGTTGCCCTTGTTCCTGCTGACCCTGCTGTTCTCAAGGGTTGTAACTGTCCTAGGTTCTCGGTATCCCAAAGAAATGAGTAAGATACATAGAAGTCAGAAATGAAACGATAGGTTTAATAGCCAGGACACACTCCTCAGGGTGGGAGCAGGCTAGTGAAAAGGGCTCACAACCTGGAAGAAGCCAAGAATCAGAACCTATATGTGGTTTCTACAGGGAGGAAGTAGCTCTTTGAATGGACAAGGCAATTCACACCAATTAGGGACAAGTCTCCTCCTTTCTGTTGAAGGGAAGAGTTTTTGTCCCTGTATGGACCCATGAGGAATTGTCACGGTGCCCAAACCCCTGGTGGGTTAAAAGCCACCATGTAAATGGGATTATAATTATCCATAATTACGTCAGGGTCATTCTCAGTTGTGTAGTGTATTCTATAGGCCATGCATCCCCAGGTACAGCTTAGGCATTAGAGGTGCTCTTTGTGGTTTCTAGCGAGCTTAGCTTGGGCTGGCCCAGAAGCCCATAGTGCACAAAACTTCTGGTCTTTCCATGCTCGTCTAGCTATTAGAACCAGGCACTCTCTGTGGTTTTTAGAGAGCCAGCTTCCTCTTTTTCCCTCTGTACTTCAGGCTCCCTCCTTCCAGGAATTTCTCCTCTCTACCTCCTGCCTCACTGCTGCGCAGAATACTGTCTTATACCAGGCCCATCGTCACAGCTCTTCTTCCTCACTTGACATACACCACTTGGGGTTTGTTTGTGCTTATTGTTTTGCTG